TCTTACACTATGGAACAATTTCTATTATTGCAGATTCCAAAAGCCTGGAATCGTTGTTATTTATGATCTAAGTAAAATTTAAGTCCTGGTTTGTACCAATTACCACAAGCCACTCTAGATTTTCTCTCTTCATTTCACAAATATTTGCAAAATAATTCCTTCACGCTTGAAAACAGAGAGGTTGCCTTACCAAAATGTGCTCTTCTTTATTGGTAAGCACACAGGTCTAGGAAAATATTTTTGATATGAATCATCCAAAGAAGCACATTTTCTTTGAGGAATTTTGGAGGCTAAATTAGAGGTGTAAGTTATCGCTCAGCAGTGAATGATAATAGGAGTTTTTCTATCTGCACTTTCAAAAAACGCATTAGATCTTTTGCTCCTGGTGCTTCATTCTCACATAGCACTCTAACAATCTGACAGTTTAACATACACTTCTTATTAAATCTGCATGATGCCCATGCTTTTAAAAAAAAGGTAGAAGGGTATATCCTGCTGCTTACTATGCCGCTGTAAGTCCAATTATGCTCTCCTGAAAATAAATTCAACTACCCTGGGTTTGCACTAGAGAAAATGAGAGAAGAATCTGTCTCAGCATCTCTGCAGAGCTGCTAGTTGAAATACCATCTCTCTCCCTTGGAGATATTGAAGAGCAATGCATCTGTATCAGTCAAGCACTGATTTTCTGGGCATTTGAAGGGCTGGTATAATGGAGGGGGCCTGCAAGGGGGGACACCTCAGCACCTGGAGCTCCTCTCAGCACGAGCTCCTCACCGGTGGCACATCCCTTGGCGCAGTGCTGCACTGCAGCCACTCTCCAGCCAGATGCAGCCATGCTATGTCCCTGGGTCGTGGAGGACCTGAGAGGCCATCGGCCACATGCTGCAAAACACAAAGTCTTGTTGCGGGACAGCATGAGGCAAGAGGCACGCATGGGACACTCATGCTTGGAGCAGGTACCGGAGAATGGATTGCTCAGTATTCAGTAGGAAGGGAGACTGGTTGGATTTCAAAGGAGCCTGTTAAGACCTGGTGAAGAAAATTATCTAAGGCATGCTCCAATTAGGGCAAGTAAGGGCAAAAAAAAAAGACTCAAACTGCAACTAATCACACCACATTCCTGGGTTCTTGGAAAAAAAAAAAAAGAAAAAGAGAGGATGATGACATCCTCAAAGCGATTGTAAAGGAACAAGGACTAACAAGGCCCTGAGCTCTGCACGAGGAAATACTGCTGTGGGTTGTAACTACACAGACAACACTGATGCTTCCAGAGCCTTAAAAGCAAGGACCACTGGTTGTTCATGTAAAGTGTGGGATGAAGCTCTCGTGATCCCTTGTGTTATCCTTGCCCCCAAAGCCAAGACCAAATAGGACATGTGCCCACATGTAGCAGATAGAGTGGCCTTGCTCCATGAGGGTTCCCGTTCCTGTGAGCTGAACCTTCTTTTCTCCCCTCCCTTGAGTAAATGAAGTCAAACAACAAAATTTGGAGAAAAAGTCAGCTTAAAAGCTTTGAGTTTAATTTGGCTCTAGGTCAAAATCAGAAAGGGATGAATAATATTTTATTTATCAGATACAAGCTTTTTCTTTTTTTTAATTGTTTTTTGACTTCTTCACAGTAGACTAATGGGTCTTATTGAACAAATCTTATGGCTGATCAAAACCTTTGAGAATGTGTGTGGAATTTCTTAGACTAGTTAAAAACATAAAGTTTTTTGTTCAAAAACCTTGTCTTACTTCAGAAGCATCTTTCACTGACTGGATTACCTTTCTTCACAAGGGGAAGTTAGACTTCAAACTTCTACCCAAGCCCAGTTACAGATTTTCCCCACATCAGCCCAGGTTCTGTATCAGTATTGCAAACCTGATTAAACCTACGCAGAATTTGGAGCTTCTAATTATTCCCTAAACAAAGAGAGTGTTGAATTTCTAAGAGTTTTTTCATGACTGTGCATATGTTGCATCCTGATAGACAATGGAAAGGTGAATCTTTCCCACAACAATGGAGAATAAAACAGAGAAGCAAACAAACCCTTCATTCAGATCAACCTTCCAGGAAACCAAGATGGTTTCCATCATTTTCATGACTTTTCCCTAGAGGCAAAAGACATCTAATTAGCAAATCCCACTACAAGTTTGCTCCGATTTGACACAAAGTGAATGTGACAAGCAGAGAAATTATAAGCCTTACATTTCCAGTTATCCAGCTTGGGCTGATAAAGCCAAGTTCAAATGTTTTTTTGGGAGGATCTTAAAGCTTGGGGAGTAAAAATCCAGAGAGTGAGCTGTTTCAGCTATAAAGGTGGATTTATAGTGTTCCAGTAAGTGTTACCTGATGGCAAAGTCACAGCAGCCTTTTATTAATGTGTACTCACATTTCCAGCTACAAAGCATTCCAACCAGTTCTGAGATGGACCTTACAGTTCCCAATTACAATGATCTGAGGAGGAGCTGAATGATACCAAGCAGAATCAAACCTTGATTCCTCATGAAGAAATAGGGCATGAGTAAAATAAATATTAATCATGAAGTTAATTAGTAAATGCTGGTAATTAATCATGCATTACTGTTAATGAGGTGTAGGAATCCTCAGAGGTGGAAGATGATCCTCCAGGAAAGAAGACCATGCAGCCTAAATTAGGTGATGTCCCCATTGCTAAAATCAGCGGGAGCTGACCCACAAGTTTGCTTTGACCTTTGTTGTCTTTATTTGAAGATAATACTAGCGGTGTCTCCTCGCACTCTGATTTAATATTCAGACTGGACTTATGGGGCAAGCAGGCACTGACCAAGGGGTTCATGGGCTTTTGCAGCTGTGCAGGCAGGTGCTAAAGGAGTCCACAGAACTCATAAATACTGCCAGGTGAACAGTTACGTTCAAACATTTCCAAAACTCTGCAATTTATGGACCAATTGTATTTCTAAGTATCGTTCCAGCAGCTACAGAATACTCTACTGAAGGAGACCTACCTGACTGATTTGCTGAACTTCTGCAGAACTTTGGAACAACTGCTAAGGATCTCTAAAAAAATCCATTTATCTCTCTAGAGCATAGAAAAAACAGCATTCTTGGTGCAAAAGCTCTGTAATCTGTGTCTACAAAGCTTCTAAGCTTCTCAGCTGTGCTGTGGGTCAGGTAGCTGCATCCTGCAGACATAACTGTGGAAAGTGGTCAGATGTCAAGAAACTTTGGAAAGCTACCTGCAGAAGTCTGTGATGAAAGACAAAACTCCTTCTTTGGTGTAGTATCTAAAGTTTGGCATACAGCAAAGTTCATTTAGGGCAAGATTCCTAAGCCAAAAGATCTTGTGGCTGCACAGGTGAGACATCCCACTACACTCATGATAAATGATAAAGTACTACTGTGGCCAAGTTGCCAAGTAACTTCTTGTTGGCTTGCCTCCCTGAGCAGCAGCCCAAGAGGACACAGAGCAAAGAGCTAACATTGCCTCAAACAAAGTCGCTCTCCATGTTTTTATTCCTTTCCAGAATGTGACCTTGCATATTTTTTTCAGAAAAATAGTAACGTTTGCAAAATTCCTGCCTGTCTCCCCTGTGCTGACAGATTGCTGGAAGCTTCATCATGGCTGAATGAAGGAACTGTTAAAATTCATCTGCCTGCCAGTCTATTAAGAGAATGGGGAAATGCGCCTAAGAAGAGAGCTTACAGTGGCCCAAGAAGGGGAGTAACAGCCAGCAGAGACCTCCCGTGAAACAGCAAAGCTATGCTTGCTTCCTGCTCTCCACCATCTTCCAACAAAGCAACATCTCCCCACTCAAAGCTTCCCATAGGTTTCACCTGGTACCTCTTGCTAAGGGATTTTCTGTTGGAGAAAGTCATGGTTAGATGGTCATAGAATTTTAAAGAGTTAAAAGGAGAAAAGTGTCCATGCATACAACTATATTTATTCTACTTCTTTTTAAAACATCAGAATGTTCACCCAAAACAGTTTGGGAAAGAAACTCCAGTTCTGAATGATTCATTCACAGTGCTGCTTCTCTGGGACTTTATGCAAGACTTAGGCTTTCACTTTTCAGTGTTTTCTTACAGCTGTTTTTCACATCCACAAGTGATCTCCACACCTATATCGCCATTCCATACCTTCAAATGTGTTGAGCCCAAGTCCCACCAAAACTATTCAGAGTGGCTTAAATGTCCCAGGGTCAAGTAAGTTTTACTTGTTTTGCACCTGGTTTCCAGTTCCTGGGGTACAGTGAGGTTGCATATTCAAACCTCAGTTGGCAGGTCTGAAACTTGGGATCATGGTGCACAGTGACTTGTCATAGCATAACTGAGGTATAACAACTGACTTTGTCTCAAGATAACACAGTGGGAGCTGGCCATGTGGCATATAATTGTGGACACATCTGTGGCAACCTTAACCTTCATATCTAAGCACATATTTTATCCACAGAATATTCCCAGAAGTGTGATGGGTGTTTATAAAGCTCACAGATAAGTCTTAGGTTTTCTTTGCCAAATAGATAACAAATGTGCAAACAGTATTTTTGTCATGTCAGTCAAAAGATATCTAAAACCAGAATTTCCTAACCCTGCCTCCCTGAGGAAAATGATGGCATAAAAGTTAACGTTGTAAAATACGTTATCTAAGATAACATAGGAATTCATTAAAGTTTTGCCGTTCAAAAGAGCCCACATTTTGTAAGCTAGAAAACTTAGACAGGGGTCCAAAATAAGCATGCATCTGCGCTACTATCTCACCTTTCTGACAGGTATCTACATAATATATAGCAGTGACATAATCACTGCATTGCATTAAGAAAAAAGTGTTAGGAACATGACTTCCTTGAAGTTCTTACAAATGTGCATCCATTAATATGTGTTAAATGTGCCATCACCAGCTCTGCGGAAGCATGTGCTGAGATGGTCATTGTCTGCCACCAGTACGCATCTCCTGGAGGAATGAGGCCAGGCTGGATAAGCCTTTACTGCTCAGACCAGGATGATTCCATAACACATAAGAAGGAATTTGCCTTACCTGTCTATGCTGCTGTGAGACTGGATACTGCAAACCTGAGATTTGCTGATTTTGCTGCATTTTCTGAAGCATCATTTTTTGCTGCATTGCTAGGGGTACATTAGGTGGCCTCTGAAGAGACTGGTTTGGGAGAGGCTGAGCAGTTTGCGGCTGTGGCTGTTGTTGCTGCTGTTGCTGTGGCTGTTGCACGGGGGCTGAACCCTGTGCCTGCTGCGTGTAGTGCAGAAGGGCAGGCTTGTTTTGGGAACCCAAAACTGAAGGCATCTGCTGGTTTGTTTGCTCTGAGTTAAAGTGAAACAAAGGCTTTGTGTTGCCATGATGCTGCTCTAGTGGTGGCTGAGCGCTGTTCATAAAGTTTCTGTTGAGGTCCTGAGGCTTCTGCTGCATGATTATGTCCATGGGATTGCTCTGGGGAGTGGTTGGTTTATAAACATAGTTATTCATCCCTTTTGACTGGTTTCCATTCACTGGTACCCCAAGCATTGCTGAACTTTGTGGGCTGAACTGCTGCTGGCGAAAAGAAGGACTGGGGATTTTCTCTTGCACGAAGGGTCCAGGGGAAGGTCCTGATGGAGACAGAGTGGACCAGTTGGCTGTCTGGTTCTGCTGCTGCTGTTGCTGCTGAATCAAGGCATGCTGCTGCCGGTTGGCTGCAATCTGTTTGAGCTGCTGTGCATGAGATACCTCCTGCCAGTTAGGCAATGGCCGACTGGATGCAGAAGAAACCTGTGATACCTGTGTTTGACTCTGAGGCACCGAAGGGATGGGTGAAGAGGTGGACATGGCAGTGGTGGCCATAGTGAAGGCTGGACCTGTAGAAGAAGGCCTCATCTGTGGGGAGCCCACAGAAGCCTGATTCATGCCTGGTGCATATTCACTTTTTATCACCATCTTATCCATCTGCAGAGATCTCACAGGGCCCCTCTGGCTCTGCTGCCCAAGGTCAATGTTGAATGGCTCGTCTTGTTTTATCGTGGCATTTATCATATTCTCTAGCTCAAGATCACTCATTGGTGGCACTGATATGTTAGTCAGTTCATTAAATAGTTCCTGAAGCTCCAAATCCATCATTTGTTCCCATGACTCTTCCCCATATCTGTTAGGAAACACATTCTCATGGGACGTCTGGCCATCTAAGTGTTTGCTGCAGGACATTGTTTCTCCTGGTTCTTTCTTTACCTCTTTCAAAGTCATATTAAACATGCCATTCCCACTAGCATGTGTATTGTTTGGTAGGTTGCTGGCCTTTCTTTGTGATCCTTGCCCCACAGACATAGTTCCTGACATTGACTGGCTTTGGCAATTGTTAACATGTTGTCCGCCTTGTCCCACTGAGATATTATCACCCACTCTTAACCTCTTAATGTCAAGGAAAGAGCTCTCTGAAACCCCATTGGGCCTCTTGTTGTTGACAGGCGACAGATTTACCACCAACTTTCTCTTCAAGGAGCCTTGGAGCTGAAAGAAGCAGAGACAAAAATATTCATTAGATGACACCAAAGAAACAATCTGTAGTCTATTTGCTAGAAAGATCTTGAAAGGCAACAGGCAGTAAGCATTGCTTAGTACAGAAAGCTATCTGGTTTTTCTCAGCCAATGAAACTATGTAGAACTGTAGGAAAATATGTTGTGAGACATCTCTCTGCCACCACCACCCCTGTCCTTGTGGCCATCAGCATTTTTCGAGCACTGCTGCCGTCCATTGATCACAGGTCCCCTTTCCTCCATGGATTGTGAGTAGAGGGAGGTGGTCAGAGCTGTAGCTGGCAAAGCCTAGGGCATATCTACCCCAGATTTGCTCCCATCTAACGGTGCCAGACAGACCTAAGGTATTTTTAGATAGCAGAGACTAATGCAGTCATGAAATCTACCCTTGTGCCTATGTAGTGCTGCAGGATTTCACTCTCATGATTTTAGTATGTGATCCAAAAGACCATTTCTGAGTGCTGTAGAGTCCAAAGGTCCTAGGAGACATTTTAATGGCAAACACAAGATTCAGGCATCCTGATCTCACATAAGTTTATACCAGCTAGAGATGTGTATAATTAAAGATGTTGGATGTTAACTTGTTCAAAACTGAAAGTGAAGCCACTGGAGCCATGTCAGCTTATGTCAGCCAAGGGTCTGGCCCATGATGTGCTGCTGGATTATTTTCCAGAGATGTATATTAACACATTAAACCCTAATTGTTTATGTCCTGAAATATCTGCTATAAAACACTCAGTCCATGTAACACTGCTCTGAGAACTGTAACTCTTTTTCATTTTCCTTGAATATTTACAGCAATACTTTCATCTTCTCACAAAGCCCTGTGGGCCTACTGAAAGAAAAGAGGTTCATGGCTCTGTCCACCTGATCTACACTCATTTGTCATGGTTGTACACACAAATTCCCACCTCATGCACACAAAACAAAGATGTAGTCCCATAAGCTGAAAAGTTCGGACTTGGTGCATATGCCCTCAAGGTGCAGACACCCTCAAGTAGAGTTGCTTTGAAAAGGGTTCATAAAAGAATAGATCACTTTTAAACAAGCACAGCTGTCATATCTTTAGCTCTGTACACTAAGTTGCACACACCAAGCAGTCAACACGCACGCATGCACGCAGCCCTCAGTCGGCACGCACTCTTGTCCCTGTTTCATCTGCGAGCCACGTCAGGAAACTCTGCAGGGAAACATGGCTCATCTTCTGCCTTTCTGCACCTAGGCAGAAGTGCACCGGCCTCGGAGGCAACAGGACAATGCCATCTGACAAATACCTGTGTGTGCCAGTGAGAAAATGGCGCCTGTACAAACTGTGGTACCTTGGGAGGCTGTGATGGGCAGAGGGGACACTGAGAATTCTAATTCTCCAGTTAAGTGAGGAAGGATGATTCATGAGATCTTCCAATCACATTATTTGTATCATGCTGTTTCATGTACAGAAGTCCATGGGCATGTAATACTCTGTTGTGGCCACCATTTCCCTCAACTTCAGGCTTAGCTATAGGTAAGAGCTCTTCCCAGACAACTCCAGGTGTGAACACTTTTGTTCTGGTGTGAAAACCAGTGAGTTGCTTGGGAAGAGCTCAGCTGACAAATTCGTATTTCCTATGTACCCACCCATCCTTCCTTTGCATCAGCAGGTCACTGAGTTTAGCCCTTAAAAATAAAGCCTGTAATTTCTCTCTCTAACACCAAAAATCTCATCTGATATCTCAAGTTAAGTTTCCAGCATAGCTTTTGAATCACAGATTCATGTTTTCATTTCATAAGGACAGATGTATTGGTGCCTAGTTGTACAAGTCCACAGACCTTGTGCCTTCAAGGGTAACTAATTGTCGTTAGGTGTCTCTCAGCGGGGAGAGTTTTTGGGGGTCACTTGCAAAAAGCACGGACTGTCTTTGGTTAGTGTGTTCCTTCCGACACATGAGTCACTGTACTTTCCTTTGCACAAAAAGAGTAAGCTGCATTTCCTTTTACCATCATCTTTGCTGTCAGTGTATTTATTAGAAATCATTCTTGTGCCCCCAAATTCATCTTCCTGGGAAATGGGGAAGTCCCTGGGTCATCAGAATACATGACTTGGCAGCATGTTTTGCTTTCAGATGTGTTGCTGACAGAAAGGCTGAGCAGATAATGAATAATATATCCTCTGCATATGTGTATGCTTCATGTGGTTAATATGCCTTTCTGAGTTAATTTTGCTTTTGCCTGACATTTTGAAGCAGAGGGATCTGGTTAAAATGTCTTCACATTTTCAGAGCACCTGCACCAGGCTTTCTGATACAATCAAAAATGCAGGTGTTGCACTGCGCTGCGTGTAGCTGCTGCTTTTCTTCTGCATTTGAACTAGCTGCTAGCAGATATGGGTGAGCTGTGAATCGGTTTGCCCAGTGGCACGCACAAGTCAGCAGCAGAGCCAGGGAGAGCACCATGATCTCTAGACACAGCCCTTAACCAAGTGCTCCCTCCTTTGACATGGGCTGGAGAATTCTTGGTTTCATGACATCTGCTCTGCTAAGGTGCCCACCAAAAAGGGCACTATGCATTTCTAAAGAAGAAGTAGCAACTGCTGGCTTATTGCATCTCCCCAAAGTCTTGCAGGCACTGCCCTCTGAATGCGGAAAACACCTTGGTCAACAGATGTCCCCACCTTAAAGCAGAAACGAGAGCGAGTGAGGCTGTAAAGGTGCAGGGGACTCTCAGGGGACTTCACTGAGAGACTGCTGGAAAGGTCCCGATTTCACCCCCACCGTGACTTCGGGATGCAGAGGGCGAGGGCATGGGAAGGACGTGAGCAGCCCATGGGGATGAAGCCCCTTCTCCCTCCTTGCACCAAGCTGTTATCAGTTACGTGTCAGGGCAGCTCACAGGGGACCGGTCGGTGTTAGCTCAGCGAGAGCAGCGGTGTCCATCACAAGCCTCTCCATCTTGCTGTTTCATCTGAACGCTGCCTTCTACGGGGCACTGCTGCCCGAGCGTTGGTCCTGGTTTGTTTCCACAGGGGAGCAGACCAGAGTTCAATCACTCGGATCTTTGCAGTTTTCTAGCAATAGCGTTTTTCAACTACCAGGAGTACTCGAGCCCTTTTTCCCCAAGCAAAGCACAGACTCTTCAGAGGGTAAAAAAAGAGCTTGCCAGACTTCAAGCTCCTTCTCTTCCCATTTGCAAGCCAGGATTGATTTGGGTCAGTAAGCGTAAAGCAAAAGTTCCTACAATGCACAGGCATGTTCCTCAGATCAAACGGACTGACGACTACACATCGCAAACTGCTTGAATGGCGTAATACTGAAAGGCTCTGCGATGGGAAATGAGTGGCGTGGCAGCAGGCGGGCGAGGAGGAAGCCCTCCACGCACAGCTCCATCCCACAGGTAGGTGGGCAGCACTGTATGAACTGTCAGGGAGTACGTGCGTTTCCTGGCAGCCCGCGTTATTGTAAGACCTTTTGCTGAGCAGGCTCTGGTGAGTCAGCGCGTGTTCAGGCGCTTACAGCGAAGGAGTGCTGGGTGCACTGATTTTCTGAAGTTAGAACGGCATGGGCTAAGCCTCTGGAGATCATGTTTGCAAGATAGCACCGGGCTGTTACTGGATAAACTGCTTGGGGACGTTCATAGTAGAGGGCAAACTCTAGAGGTGACTTGGTCTAAACAACCCAGCATGACACCACGTCCTGTACAGAGGGACAAGTACTTTCTATTTAATACTTATTCTGACTCTCTTTTCTAACGCTCCCTGACACCAGGCCAGATCAGCAGGAGCTCACCAAGCTAATAATTAGGGCTCATCAAAATCTGGTATCAAATAATTTCTCTTTTGGAAAAAAAAAAGGAAAAAGGCTTTTGCTTTACCTTTCTCTTGGTTGAAATTTTTTACTAAATGTAAAACTAGAGGATTTTGCTGAAAATTGGTTATTTTTTTTTCTGCTCAAAAGCTTTTTCAGAAACTGGAAACAAGAACTTCTTTGGTGCAAAAGCACGATTTGTCAATGAGAAATTTTAGAGATTGTTTTCTCCTAAGTGTCCATATTTAACAGTATTTTTATCACATCTTTGATCCATTTCTGACATTACCCATATGCATTTACCTTGTATTCCTTTCCACATGAACTGTCCATTACGTCCAAGAAAAGAATTTGTCTGTGGCAGATAAGAACTATTTGGTTTCACCTTCATTGAAAGTCTTATTTTTTGTGCACTTAATGCAGCTTCTTCAGTTGGACTCTTAAAGTTCTTTTCCAACCTTAATGATTCTATGTTTCTATGGTTCCTTTAGAATTTGTTTGTTACTTCATATAACAATGTGTAGGAGCACAGCGCTTGAGAGAAATCCTAGGTTAACCATCCAGCAACGTTGAGTTTCACAGCTCTCAGGACACGTAAAACACAGCCTGTCCCTCTGACTTGCCCAAGTATCTCCACAGTGCCTGCAGATCTCCAAAAAAATTCATTTCCCAGATTCTCAAAAAAAAATTTAACCCATCCTTGGCCTTGTACAGAGATGTTAGTAACAAGTCTGACTGTCACCTCAAAATGTTTATAGCTAGACACTTAAGACTGGGCCAAAACACCAAAATGTTCCAAGCAAACTATGAAGAAAATTACAGACTGTTATAGCTTTAATATTCGACTAATGTTTATTAGCCAAAAATGTCCTACAACCTTTGTTCTCCCACCTCTCTTATTTTCCTATGAAGGTTTGCAGCGCGCTCAGCTTGTGTGGTGGAGCGACGAGGACGAAACTCATAACGTGCTGCTATCTTAAGCCCAAGTGATTACCGCACTTTGTGAAGCGGCAGCGTTAGTGATTCGCGTGGAGTAATACTTCTGATGTTAAAAGAGCAGCTTTGGATTTTATGCTTTTAATATAGAAGCAGCAGACAAATCCACTTTAAAAGGTCCCTTTTGGACTTTCTAGACGTTCTCACAATGTGTGCTGACTGTATCTATGGCTGCACTGTAAACAAAATCCTTCATGTATCTGGGGAGGGTAAGGGGTAAAGGAATTACATGAAAAATACAGAAAATATTCAAACAATGAAAGTGGCCAAAAAAAAAAAAAAAAAAAGGAATTCATTCCAAAGGAGAAAAACATGCTGAATGCTACTTCTTATTTATGCTGTCAAAGCATCTTTGCATCCCAGAGCTGAACCCAGCAAGCCACCCCCAGGATTTAGGGCCCGATCCTGAATAACAACAGGTCTCCTTCCCAAAATGGTGTTTGCAGTGTTTGCTGCCAGCTGTGTGCAGTGCCACCTCCTGCACTGTCTGGAGGTGAGCTGAGCCAGGGACCATCCCTCCGGGCAGGGCGTGGGGTTCCCCAGCACAGAGCCTCCTCGTTGCAGGCATCCCCCCGGCACACGGGAGGACCAGGTGCCCCTTTCCTTCTTTTCTCACCCCTTCACGCAGACACACTGGTTGTGGTGGCTAATGCCATGGTCAGCTGCGGAGCCACTAAGTACCCCGGGGTTGGTGCAAGGATGCCCCAAGCTGCCACCTCCAAGGCCATCACGGGTCCTAACGCCGCAATCACACACGTGCCTTCAGAGCCTCTTTCTGACTACGGACACATTTTACACGATCAGGTAAAAGGGCTCCCACAACTGCCCTTTCTACGCATCTCCTGAAATCTTGCAGCTCTGTCCCTTCCCACTCCTTCCCCCACGCAGGGCAGCAGGTTCGCCCTGACATCTCTCCTGAAAATCTTGATGGCATGGCCTTCTTCTGAGCACCTCTCCCCAGCCCCTCTGCTCTACACTTTCTCTGCACAGCAAGAGGGTATTTATTTTTAATCTTTTGTCTTCATCTGCAACTTCTACCTGACATGGCTGAGAAGGCAAGTGTGACAGTTGTCTTCAGAGAGACTTCAGAACTCCAAGTTGAGAAAGTTCAACCTGCTGGATGATGCTGATCTGGGAAACAACATTAATTTTTCATGCAGGACTGAGTGACAGAGCCGGGGCCATGGGCACCCAGTGCGATGGGGAGCAGTGCCGAGAGCTGGTGTGTCCTCGCAGCACCGCACAGCACCACGGTGGGGTCAAGGCGGTCCTACAACGGTTGCGAAGAGCTGTGCAAGAGTAGCAGATGCTGTTTCTCACTCCAGCCTGGTTTGCACAGGCTCAGCCCCAGGTGCCTCCTCCTCTTCATGCTTCTACAGGCCACCCGCACCGAGTGTGTCTGCAGGAAGGGGACCAGTTGCTCTCTCTGAGCAGTGAGGAGGAGGAGCAGGTGCCTTCAGCCCTACATTGTCGGTGAGGGCGGCAGCTCAAGCCAGCACACCTTTGCTCTGCCTCACTCCTCTCCCGTTTAGCTAAGCCGCTCCTGAGACCACTCTGGTCACAAGGAGCAAAGTTTGCTGCCATAAGATTTTGGCTGTACATATCCCAAACCTTCCCACCACCCATCCCTGTCTTTCTGATCACAGGCTCTTTGGGAAGAGACTTGATGTCTATACAGGGCCTCTTGCACTGGTGTCCTAGCTCTGGTTGATCCTTAGACATAAGCACCGCTGTCAATAATAATGCTGACTGAGAGGTAACACAAGTTTTTCTCCCTGTTTACCGTAATAAGGGCCACTAAAACTGAATTTATAGTAACAAATAAGGATGCTCCTTGGCTGACAAGTATCCACTTAATTCTCATTAGCTGGGAACAAGGCTGGAATAGTAATCAGTATGTTAGAAATCTCACAATTTACCTTCGCTTATGGAAAAATTATGTATCTTGCCAACTAAACATACCAACCTAAAAATGCATCCATATTATTCACAGTGTACTGCCTAGACATACAACATCTTGGGCTTTGGTCCAAGTTGCTGAAGCACAATAATTACATTTTCAATGCAGATTTTACATCTGATAGATTATAAAATATCATGTCTAGCCACAGTCTTTTAGAAGAATAGGAACACAGAGAAACAATGGCACTTTAACTAGGTCAAGATTGCTAATCAGAATGTAGCTGTCATTACTGTGTGCAAAACAAATAGGCATGAAAGATCTGTATTTCTTATCCTGCAAGTTGTGTATTTGTCTTCTAGAGAAATCTCTTCTGTTCTCTTTTTTTTTTTTTAAGATCCTTTTCAACCATGAATAAATTAACAATCACTTTATGTGAAATCTGCAGAAATTTATGTCAACATTTATTACCATGAAATGTGGAACAAAGCATAATGCAACCTGAGCTTTGGGAAATGCAACTGCTTAACTGATCCTATCCTGATGAGAAGGAAATATCAAATGCATTATAAATGTTGACAGGATGATCAGGCATGTAAAAGAGGTCATCCAACACCACCCTCCACATTGTTTACCAGTTTTATAAGTCAGCTTAAAGTATTAAAAACACATACCGTCTTGCACAGGAAGCTCCTAATCCTTAAAAATGTGTCTGCTGTTATTTGATTTGCCTTTTAGAGATCAATAGCATAGCAGATTTCACCTAAGGAAATACTGCTGAGAGCAGTCTGGTCCTGGTTTTCTGCCTAGCATCACTTCCAAAATGTGAAGTCTTTGTAGCTTCATTAGAGCACATATCCATGCCCACACATTACCTGTCTAAGCACCTGTCTCCTCTGTAACACTCAGTATCAAAAGTTCAATCAATGGAGGAAGACAGCAACCATCCATCCAGCCTTAGAAAATAAGGAAATATTTAAACTGTTTCTCTCTTCCTGCAAATCAATGCGTCACACAGGACACTCACGCCAACTGTTTGGCCTTGAGGTCTTCTGCAGGGTAAGTTACAGTTCACAGGAGATACAGTCATGACTTATCAATTGGAAAAAAAAGATCCCTTCAGCATATTACCCAGTCATGCTTCCAGCATCAGACTCTATCAGCCAGGAACAGAAGGGCCTGTTTGAACGAGAACTGCCTTCCATCACTGCTTCAACCAGGACTCTTAATGAGCAACTGGCAAAATGGCTTCTTGTTAGGAGGAAGGAGTCCTGATCCTCTATCAAAAACTTCAGTGGGAAAGTTATATTTATGACCAAATCCAGGCCTGTGGTTAAGAGAACATCTCTAGCAAGGTTGCTGCACTTGCTTGATGGCTGGATTTAACCTGTATTAGCATCTTCTACCTGCCCCTCCCCGTCGTGCACATTCATCCCATTAAGAAGGACATAAACTAAAAGCAGTACTTAATAGCCATTTTCAAACTCTTCAGCTTAAACATGCAATGTCAGGACAGGCCAAGCGCATCCCACCAAGAGACTGACCTATATGAGCAGAACAGGCAAAAATTTAGAGGATTTTGGAGGCAAGTGACAACAATTTAAGAGTTTTGAAGATACTCCTATGAAGAGAATGGACAACAGAAGGGACAAATAAAAGAGAAAATTATGAAAGTTTATATAATAAGAGTCTAACATATTAACTGCAGATCAAGAGGGTAATTACCAAACTTGCACAGCAGTAAATTAAATCCCAATGAAATTATAAACTTTTTCTTCCAATGTGGATAGAGTCTGAGGAACTACATGACAGATCCAGAGCTCAGCAAGATCTAAAGAGGGACTGGGCATTTGTTTGGAAATGGGAAGATGGTGATTTATGAAAGGTCATGATAAAATATTCAGAAGGGGATATGAAATATTAAACATCAAGGTTCAAACCAGCCTATGGTTCATGGGGACTGACTACGGTTGTCAGTGGGCAGAGGAGGAAGAGGTAAGCGAGAGGAGTGGTGGTTTTTGAAGGCCTATCAAGGTGATCATGAACCTTTCCCTAATATATTTAACTTTTTTATTGATGAGATGCTGCAAGACTTTAGAAAAGACACATGTCTGGCCATATTTCACAACTACTTTATTTCCAACACTTTAGAAGTCTGGAAGAAAACTGTACAAATTTGAGTCACTTGACCAGTATCTAAATGTTTACTACTAATTGTACTCCTGAGTTTCAGTTTTAGCCTGAAAACACAGACAGAATGACAGAACAAGAATGAATAGTAAAAATCAGCCTGAGACAATGGAAGATCATTAGCAGGTTACAGGAACCCTGAATGCCTTGTAGTCTTGGACTAGCACATGTTGCTATTCAGGTGACTTTTCATTATTTGGTCTTTCTTTGAGTACCATATTGTGATATTTTATGAGAAGTTTGAAGG